CTTAACTTTTTCGGTTTTATTTGTCATAAACTTGTCATTATTATCGGAAACTTCCCGGAATTTTTTAATTTGGATGTTTATTGGACTTTCAAAGCACTTGGCAGCTTTGGAGTTTGCTCTGGACTTTCCGAATTCTTTCGGAACTTTTCAGGATTATTATTTTTTCTTTTAATTTTGGGGTGTTTGGGGAATTGTTGGAATGTTTTCTGATTATTCATTACCAAACTTTCGGGATTTTCGAAAACTTTTCAAAATTTTTTGCTTTGAGTACTTTTTTGAATCTTTAGAGCAGCTGGGAGCTTGTGGAGTTTTTGAGACATTCTTGCTATTTTTTCCGATTATTTATTATTGAAGTTAGGATTTGCGAAGACTTTTCAAAATATTTGTTTAGGTGCCTTTTGAACTTTTAGAGCAGATGGGAGCTTTTGAAGCTTTTTCGAGACTTACTGGATCATTTCGAGACTTATAAGGAGTATTTGAGGATTTTTTCGGGTTTATTCGCAATTTTTAATCTTAGATAGTTTTTGTGGATTTCTAAAGAATTTGGACGCTTTGGGATTTTTCGAGGACTTTGTGATTTTTCGGGACTTTTTGGCATTATTCTTATCCTATTTCTAGGTGTTTTGGGATTTTTCAGGCACTTTTGTAATTTTTCCCAGATTATTACCCTTAAACTATTTGGAGTTTTTTATTTTTGGTATTTTTTTTGGACTTTATGGATTTCTTTGAAATTGTTTGAAGTCTTTTTGTGAAATTTGTGTAAGCGTTTTATCATTCTCTGATAAACCGCTGTACATCTGTTTGAAAATCGTTAACGCATATACCAATAACTGCAGACATCTGTGGAGACACAGTGCAAATGCATTTTTTCGTCTCTTAAATGTTGTTTTATAGCAAGGATTCTCAGCAATAAATATTCAATGTCCAAACGAGAGAGCATGTAAATAATTTATCAGACATTTTATTTAAATTTAACATATTTTTCGCCAATAAAAAGTAGAAACACAAATATTTACTATAAACATGTATGAATGTATGCATGCATGTATTTACAGCTAATTATTTTGTGTATTAAAAATGTTCGTTAATCCACCGACTGGTATCAGTAGATTTTATCAATCAGCATTATTTTACGTTCAGTGCCAGATATAAAATATAACCAGCTCTTATTTACTGAACGAAAGCAATGATAAACACACTTTGCCTGTAATAGCTTTGTTTAAAAAAATTTATACGAATACTTATAGCACACAACAATAACTTATGTGCATGTATAAAAATATGTATAGTAGCAGCATTTTTTATGAATTCAAGTATTTTAGCTTTATGCGTTATGGGTCGTTGACAATGTTGCCAGCTTTTTTTTATGTTCAGATTTGGGTATTCAGATGAAAATATGAGTTGTAAGCTTATGCATAAAATTGAATAGGTGTACTAAATTTTAAGCAATTTTTTAGTGTCAATGATATGAAATAGCACACTTTAGATGACAAGGGCGACAATTTCTTACTTAACTACCTTTATATGGCGTCATGTACAACTGTTTCTCATGCATATATATATATGTATGCATATGTCAACATACATACATATTATATGGGAATTTTCGATATATTTATCACAAATACTTTAGCGCGAAAAATTATTATTTTTTTAAATATTAATATTACACAGCAGATAAATATTCAAAATTAATAAAACTAACATAAAACAGCTTTTTTAATATTTTTTATTTTTTTTTTTTTTTCCTAGAAGCAAACTTAATTTTGCCGTCATCGAATATGTATGTATCTACACATCGGTGGAAGTTGCAAATAGAAACTTTGATTTGAAATATTTTCCAAATAATTTTGCATAGCTAAATAAATTAAATAACCTTCCGAGAAACGCAATATTTATTATTTTTTGCTACTCACCTACGTACAAAAGTGTTGCTTTTGCTAGAGTTCTTATTTGCTTTGTTTGTAATAAATTAATATTTGAAAAATATTTATTCTATAACAACGAATTCATCATAATTTAATTAATTTAGTAAAGCGACTATATGGAAAATATTGCATTTGAAATTGTAGGCCATTCTTTTTAGCAGTGGAGCCTATTATATTTGTAAGAAAATATGTAGTGAGTAAAAAATTAGGACGACTACTTTGTGATAAAAACTGCATTTTAGGCTGGTAAAAAAAATTTTAAATATTAGTAAATTTAATTTTCTATGTGTGTCTATGAGTAATCCGGAATATTTTCATTAGACTTTCATTAAAACTTCTCTGAAATATATAAATAAAATATTTTATAAAATTAATAATACGAATACCAGTTTATAATGGCTGTTTACAGTGGGTGTATTAAACTCAAACAATTGGGACATTTGGCATGTAGATAAATATATAAGACCGGACCACCTTACAAGCAAAGCCTAAAGTATTTTTGCAAGGTAATTTAGATATTTTTTTTTGTTTTTTTTTTGACTAACTTTTGAAGGAGTAAATTTATGACTTTTTTGCGGCTTTCAATTTGACTTAAAAACGATTATGAAATTTCAAAGCTGAAAAATTTTTTTTACTTTCTAATGAATAGAGAAAAAAGGGTTTTTATTAGAAGTGGTCGCCCCTCGGCAGGCAATGGCAAACCTCCGAGAGTATTTCTGCCATGAAAAACAGCTTCTCATTAAAATACACCCAGCGTTCGGAGTTGGCGTACAACTGTAGGTCGGCACCCTGAAATTGTGCATATGGAAACTGTGCATACGAAATAATGCATATGAAAAAAA